GAGCTGTTTATTAGTACACGAGTCTCACATTGGGCTTGAGGGCTGACATCCAAGAGAGCAACTACATGTATGGTGTTCCCATTTTTCTCCTCCCAACGTGATTGGGACTGGAAATATTTATGATGTGCTCTATAATAACCCAGGCAAGCTTTAAAATCCCAATAAGCATCTGGCAGCCTGCTGTACTAATTCTCTAAGGAGAATGAGCTGGCCAGGATTTATTGACATTTTAATGCAAACCCTGCAAATAGGAGATTTCCTTCTTAGCTTGGTTCCTCCTTTACTCTTCATTCTATTTATTCTGGAATAGTCTCTAGCAGGAGCAGAGTTTTAAAAAACTGGGGAGAAGGAAGAAGATGCTGAAGTATTCAGGATCCCAATGTATCACTGACTCATAAATCACACTTCTTTTTTTGCCAGATTTCTTACACTGTGGCAAGCCCACACACATAAGAGTGAAAGGGAGGAATTTTGTACAAGGAACGTACAAGCACTACACCATCTTAACACTTTGAATATCCTAATTACTAAAGTGATGGTTTCCAACCTCAAGGATTACTTTATTGGTTACCTCATCTTAACCCAAAATTTCCTTGCCTGAGGTAGAATTCAAATGCTGCTTTTCCTACTAGATTTTGCCATCTTTTGTTTTTAAAATCTTGCGGCACCAATTCAGATAACAATTCTAGCTTTTCACTCATCCTTGCTTGTACTATATTGCTTTTCTAGCAATCCTGCTGAAAATTCCTGCACTCAAATTTTCTAAGAGGACACTGAAGCCTCAAACTAGTTCTTAAACTGAGGCAGGCAGACTCGGAGTATGGAAAATCTCTTTTCTTTTTCAGAGGATACCTAGACATACTATGAATCCAAGCGCACGCCAGTGTTTCATGCTTGCAAATCTAAATTATTAAGAACTTGCTCAGCCCAAAATTTGTGATCAATCCCAGAAGCCAGTCCACGGGTCTTTTCTTCTTCAAAAAGAAAGAAACAAAGAGAGAGAAAAATGGTGTCTCCTCTGTGACAGGAAAAAAGATACAATTGCAAAGATGGGGACTGAAGCCAAGAAATTAAAAGATGCTTGCTCCTGGGGAGGAAAGCTATGGCAAATCTAGACAACATACTAAAGAGCAGAGACATCACTCTTACAACAAAAATGTGTATAGTCAAGGCTATGGTTTTTCCAGTTGCAATGTATGGCTGTGAAAGTTGGACCATAAGGAAGGCTGAGCGCCAAAGAATTGAGGCCTTTGAACTATGGTGAATGGAGAAGACTCCTGTGAGTCCCTTGGACTGCAAGATGATCAAATTGGTCAGTCCTAGAGGAGATCAACCCTGACTGCTCTTTAGAAGGCCAGATCCTGAAGATGAAACTCAAATACTTTGGCCACCTAATGGGAAGAAAGGACTCACTGGAGAAAAACCTAATGCTGGGAAAGATTGAAGGCAAAAGAAGAAGGGGATGACAGAGAATGAGGTGGCTGAATTGAGTCACTAAAGCAGTCAGTGTCAGCTTAAATGGACTCCAGAGGATGGTGGAGGACAGGAAGGCCAGGAGGAACGTTGTCCATGGGGTTGCGATGGATCGGACACGACTTCGCAACTAACAACTGTAAATCACTCAAAGCTCTATCCATCTCCATCCCACTTTTATTAGACCCATCCTTGAGTTCACAATACACTCCATCTGTAGTCTCAGGAACTCAAGTCTCAGAAACTCAAGAAGACATCTTCTAGAGCAGTGGTAGTCAACATGGTCCCTACCGGCCTCTAGTGGGTGTTCCAGCTTTCATGGTGGGTGGACGGTAGGGGTTTGCTGCAACTCTGCTTTATAAATTTTATAAAGTAAAGTTACTTCCCTACTTTATAAATCACCATTACTGTGGAACCGGTGGGCGGTTAGAAAATTTTAATACTACCAGAAATACAAAAGTGGGCGGTAGGTATAAAAAGGTTGACTACCCCTGTTCTAGAGTAAGCAACTTTGGAGTCAGAAAACTGGCAAACTGGAAATACTTTTGAAAAAGAACTCATTTATCTGCGTTCTAATTGTTGCAAAGGTTTTTGCAATCAATAAACATGGCAAAAGAACAGATTGTATAACAGGTATGGTCTCAGACCCATTTCTATTTATATCTAGAAGAGAAAAAGTCATCCAGATTTAATAAATGGGTAGCAGCAACTAATGAATACACAGGTCTGTAGAAGTCAGCTGATCTCTAAGGTTCTTACAGGGACAAGACATTCATTGTCTTGGATGCCAAGATAAAAATACATACAAGAATGTGGAAAAATTCAAAAGAATGACTAGCTCCAAGTGTAAGAACCACTAGCCACGACAAACAGCTAAGCTATATATATTATGAAGGAACCCATTCTTCGAGTTTGCATCCTTAAACAGTCCAAACAAGCCCTGCCACATCTAAAAAAAAAGATTGTGGAAGGCTTGGGAGAATCCTAAGGTTTAGAGAAAGACAAGAACAAGAATGGCATTAATCCAGTTGGAATTGAAGATTACCAGTGGTCACAAAATGTATTTATATCCCACCTTTATTATTTCCTAAATAACTCAGTGAGGCAAACATACATAATACTCCTTTGTCCTCCTATTTTTTCAGCAGACAACCCTGTGAGGTGGGTAGGGCTGAAAGAGTGTACCTGGGCCAAAGTTACCCAGCTGGCTTTCATGCCTAAGAGGAAACTACAACTCCCAGTTTCCCAGTTTCTAAGCTTGGAGCCTTAACCACAAGACCAAACTGGCAAAGAGAAAGGAAAAAATGCAATATTTAGAAGAATGCAAGTCTGGCCAAAACAAGCCAGTCCTGAACCAGATGGTTCAACATTACAAAATTGTTAGTTCTCTACACACCACTCTAAGAAAGCTGTTTTGAAATGCAACAATGATATATTCCTAACTAAAGTAATACTGAAAAGCAGGTCCAGGCGGGGCATGTGTCATAATTTAGCTGCTGTCAGGGGAAAACAAATATAGAAAGAAAAGATAAAATCCCTGATGTCCTGTTTGTACATCTCTAGAATTCCTCAGGCTGTTGGAATCTAGTACAAAAGACACAACACATACACACAAACACACAGACACACAGACACAGTCCAAATAACTCACAGTATCACACTTATTGGTTGCCTTATGCTCAGAGTTCTCACCCCAGTCCCTTTCTTCTCTCCTGAAATCTAATTGCGGAATATCAACACTACCTTATGTAAAGTTATTTTAAAGGCAGGAGGAAAGTATAGAAAACGCTGGGAGCCTCCCCCATTAGCATCACCTCATGCGTGTGAATTCCGCCCGTTTAAGTCCCCCCATTCAAGTTCCTACCCAGGACTTGCAGCTTGGGGGGGGGGGGACACACCTCAGAATTAGATACACCAACAGGAAGGCTTTCAGGGGAGGAAACCACTCAAACCGAAACGAGGTGCCAACCTTTCTCGGATTTACGCCTCTTCCACTGAAAAAGCAGAGAGGGGACACGGCTCCTGTTATTCCAAAGGCAACAGCAGCAGAGCACTCGGTCCTTGGGATGAAACCATCTTCAAGTTAATGGACCGGGGACTCTACCTATCTACCTAACTACTTACCTAACTACCTATACATGCATGCATACATACATACACACACACACACACCACTCAGTACATACATAGTATGTACATGCATACATACATACACACACACACACCACTCAGAAGGGTAATATTTGTCAGCCACGAGCGCGCTCCCCGCGCCGCTGCAAGAGCGCATCCTCGCTCAGTGCGCTCGACTCCATCCATCCCTGGTTGGTCAAGTGCAGGCACCCGCGAGCCAAGCGAACCCACCCGGGCAGGGGGAGTCAAACCCGCCCGCTGGAAAGAAGCTGTGGGGAGGGGGGGGAATAACGCACCTCCCCTTCCAACCACGCGGAGGGTCCTCCGATGCTTTGAAAGGAGGCGGCGTATTGCGGGCAAAAGCGCGCTGGAGATCGGGGCTCAGCTGTGGGCGGGCCAGCTCCTCCTAGTCACGACTCACAGTGGCCAACGGTTGGAAGTCCTCGGAGGAGGAACGGACCGCCGCGGGGCCGGAGCGCGTTCTCCACCCCGAGGTGACGCCCGGCAGCAGGATAAGGGAAAGGTTCCCGGGCAAGACCCGCGATGGCGATCTTCTTAGGGTCGCGTACTCACGTTTCATCCTTCCCCTCCTCCTGCAAGCGGCTCCTTTCAGGGAAAGGGGGATAAACAGCCCGGGGAATAAGCGGGGAGGACAGAAATCCCGAGGGAAGGCAGAAAGGGAAAGAGGGAGAGGAGACACGAGCAGCCCCATGGGGAAAAAGGTAAAGGTTCCCCTCGCACATATGTGCTAGTCGTTCCCGACTCTAGGGGGCGGTGCACATCTGGCCGGCATGACTAAAGCACCGAGCGCTGTTACCTTCCCACCAAGATAGTCCCTATTTTTCTACTTGCATTTTTACATGCTTTCAAACTGCTAGGTTGGCAGAAGCTGGGACAAGTAACTGGAGCTCATTCCGTTACGCGGCGCTAGGGATTCGAACCGCCGACCTTTCTGATGGACAAGCTCGGCGTCTTAGCCACTGAGCCACCGCGTCCCTTATAGTTCCATGGGGAAACATCCCCCCCCTCCACACACAAAAGCCACCCTTTCCCCTTTGAACAGATCGCAGAGCCAGCCTTTTATCCTGAAGGGAATCCCCGCCGGTCTCCATCAAGTCAACCCGCGCGCCAAGGCTTTTCAGGTTCTGGGGGGCTGCAAACGACCAACACCACCACCACCCCGGGCGTGGGAAAAGCTTGCTGCAATTAAACTGGCCGTACCTGCGAGGAAAGGAGCAACGGAGGCTCATCCACCTGCAAGGATCGGGCAGGGAAGGGAACCGCGCAAGGCTGCCTCCCCGCCCCGTTTGCCTAAGGGAAAGGAGCCGCCGGCTTTCCATTCCCTCCCGCCCGGTGGCGATTCTGCACCGAAGGCGTCGCCGTCAGAGCGTTCTCACCTTTTTGGCCTCCGGCGCGGCGGAGCGGCGATTCCCCGCGGTCAGGGAGGAAGATTGCCCCTGGCCGACGTGATCCTGTTGCGGGGACATGGCTTCCATTAGATTCCCTTTGACCGCTGCTCAAACAGCCTGAAGGAAGCCTGAGGTCATCCCAGGCTGGTTTTCGATCCTGGGCAATAAGAAGAAGTCTTCCTCGGAGCCCCTCCGGCCGGCTCTCATTGGAGAATCAAGGCAGCAGCTCAACGGGGAAGCGCGCAAAAAAGCTTTTGCTGCGGGCGCCGACAGCGGATTCAGGACAGCGAGTGCGGCAGACAGCGGCGCGGATGGCCCCGCCCACCTCGAGGCCAAGGCTGCCCGAGGCTCCACCCAGAAATGGAAGCCGAGACACAAGCCCCGCCCCTTCTGCTGCGGAGGGGAATCTGGCCCAGCCGGCGTGCTTTGTAGCCCCGCCTCTTATTTTAATCGCGACCTTGGCCCCGCCCACAAACGAGACTGCAGAATTCCGAGGTGGGGGGTGGGCGCGGTCGTTCGTTTGACTTTTGCATTTCTGAGGAAACGAAGGGATAATATCTTAATGTTCATTTAATATATATATTTAATCCCTGATTATCGAGTCTTTGGACTTCCTGGGCTGCGATCGAAGAAGCCCTTTGCAAATTTAAAAAAAATATTTTTAAAAACCCTATTTCTTCATTTGATCTCAATATTGCTAAAGCATCCAACCGCTCTTCCATAATAATCCCTTCCTCCTCCGCTCCCTACTGAGGGGCCACGTTTTTTAAATTAATATATTCTTGTACCGAATTGATTTGAGAAGGGACCTCAACCGTGTTTCATCTGGAATCGATCAATGCTGTAAAAATATTTGGTCAGACACCCCACCCACCCCCAATGAAATGGCTAAGGGCGCAAGGAGAAGAACTCGTTGCAACGTTGGCAACTCTTGATTGTGAAACTCAAGTGGAGAAGGCAACTAGGAACAAGCCAGATCTTGTATCGGTTTCCTAAGAGGGCCGTTTAACTCAGGTCACTGGGTCTTAACTCCAAACAAGTACAGCAATGCTTGGAAATGCAGATCTGCTCCAGTCCAAAATAGGAGAGAGAAATAGGAGGGAGAGAAAAAATGCTTCCAGGCAAAGCATTTATTGAATACTTTGCCACATCCATACGACCTCATAATACATCATAGGTCTGGAGTTGTATTTCCAGGCAAAGCTTTTGTAAATGTTACTTTTTCTCTGCCTGGCATTTTAGGAGAGATGCAAAGAACAAATATCCGGTAACCCATACTTCCCTACCATTCCTTTCTGCTATTTTCTTTGAAAGAAAGGAGCACCTCAGCTACTTTTAATTTTGAATTAAAGCCCTGAGGCAGAATGGCTTAGATTCATATCCACAAGCTAAAATACAGCCACATTATAGTTTGGCTTACTACAATGTGGAGAATTGATACAAACATTACTTTGATGGTGCTAGGAAGCTTTTGGCTAGAAGGGAGGGTGGGTGTATATGTCCCCAGGATATGGTCAAAATAGTCAATGATGCCCACAACATTAAATTGAATTTTTGCCCATTTCACAATGCAAATAAAAAGGTTGAAATCTGATCACTGTTGCAGCCTCCATCTTGACCATGATGGAAATTACCTGGACTTGAATGCTTTATGAAATTGCTTCTCACAACATAATTGAACTGTGAACTAGATGGATTTACACAACATGCTAGACCAAAATGTCTTTAGCAAGTTTGTGATTCATATACCTGTATATGCTTTGTATCTAAAGTAGAACTAGCACTTCAAAGTCTCCTGCTTACTAGCCTGATGCCTTAACCACTATGCCAAACAAGCTCCTGTCTGTGGCATGTATATGTATGATTTCTGTCTAGCCTACAGCTTTGAGATTTATCAAAATATATAGCCTGAAATCATGCATCTCCAAAAAAATGCAGTGAGTATTTAAGGTGAAATAAAGAAGTTGCCACCAAAGCAAATAAAATGGAAAAATATATTGACAAGACTTACATATAATGCAATTTTTTTCTGACAAAAGTTTGATGTGCAAATCTAGCCATTATGGCTTGCAAATTATGGTTTGTTTTAAAATCCAACTGTAGTTTATTCGATAAACCATGATTAAATAAATTGTAATTATGAGTCAGTCAAACTTGGGTGGCTATAACAAATTTGAATAAATAAAGCTCCTTTCACCAATGACAAATCAGAATTTATATGTTAGTATGTAAAATAGACAGTCTCATTCCAGGTATTTTTAATTGAAATGTTTCAAAACTATTGATTAGAATGAACTTTCAGTTTTAACATTTTCATATTTTTAAAAAAAACCATATTCACACTATTAGAACAAATAAAGAGGCTTATGTTGATGTATGAAGATTGTTGGCTAGATTGTTAACTTTGCCGTGGGATACTGCATTCTGCAAAATTACAGAAATGAGGGGCATCTGTTAAGCTCTGCAAGACTTGTGAGGAGAGAGAAAATGCTTTTTTAAAATAAGAAACATCTGTAATGCTGTGTGGGAGACTAGGAAAGAAGTAGAGCCAGAAATCTCAAGTTTATATTCTTGTTTGTCTTATCTTTCTCGCATTCAAACTCATTGCTGATTTAAGGGAATATTAGATCTCATTTTAAAGCAATTTTAGCTGAGGTTTCAAGTTAAACACTCTTGTACTAGGACAGCAAGCAGCTTGTGCATACCTTTGTACTCCTTGCTATTACTCTTATATTTTATCCTATCAGCTTGGAAGAAACTCAATTTTTTTCACATAACTTTTCTGAAATCAAAGAACACTGTATATCATGCTGAACTTGTAATTCTAGGACAATAGGATAATCAAGTGACGCCCATCTAACACGCTCTGCCTAATGTTTTTGTACATATAGTAGAACCTCTGCTCACAAACACTTCTGACCACGACCAAATTGGGTTCCCCCCCCCCAAAAAAAGGTTTTTTTCGCGGCCGATTTCCCCTTCTGCGCCATTTTTTCTTTGTAAGCACTAAATTTTCAAAATGCGGTTTGGGTCACAACCAAATCGGTTTGCAACCAAAACTATGGAGCGGATTATGATTGTGACCGGAATTTCTACTGTACATGGTATTTTCTATTGTGATAAACAAATTTATGCTGCTTATCAAGTGTTTTATAACAACCAGCCAAGTGGTTTCTCAAATAAGGGATTACATAATTTTAAAATGACCAGATATTTTTTTTAAAAAACAACCCATGAGAGTCAAGATGGTATCGCTAATAAGGTGTCGAACTAGGAACAGTACCTCTAGTTCTAGTTTAGAACTTGGAAATTAATAATTAATAAATTTTCTGTCAGCCCAACATATCTCACTGATTTGTTGTTGTTGGGAAAAATATCTGGTCATTTTA